GGCATTTTACAACTTGGCATGATGCAATGACATTAATCCTAAAAAAAAAAAAGAATCACCCCCCTTTAAAATAATCACATTTTGTTGCTTTGCAGCCTGAAATGAAGACGGACACAGTTTTTGTTTTATCCAGCTGTATTTACTCAGTGCAACTTATAACATCCAAGTGAAAGATATAACACCAACATGTCAGAAAGAAAAAAAAAAACAATCACGGAGTTGGAAAAAGGACATATCGTTTGGTGTTGAGACCAAATAATTAAATTTTAGTCTCATCTGCCTCAGAATCTTAAGGTGTGTTTTGGCAAAGCTCAGTCGTGACTGCATGTGGCCTTTCTTGAGGAATGGCGTTTTTCTTGCACCCCTCCCATACAAGCCACATGTGTGGAGGATTTGTGATATTGTTGTCACATGCGCACAATGACCACTCTTTGTCATAAACTCCTGCAGCTGCTTCAGAGTTGCTGTAGCTCTCGGTCGTCTCTCTGAGCAGTTTCCTCCAGCTCTTTCATCCAGTTTGGAGCGACGTTCTGATTCAGGGAGGCTCTGTGTTGTACCAAATACCTTCCACTTCTTAATAACTGTGCTTCTAGACATTGATAAGGCCTTTGATTTTTTTTTTATATTCATCTCCTGACTTGTGCCTGTTCATAACTTTATCCTGGAGATCTTTTAACAGTGTCTTGCCACCCATAGTTGATTGTTTGCTTCAGATGCACTACCACGGACTGAAATGCTCCAGGAAAGCTCTTTACATGCTGAGCTGATCAAAATGAGCACAGCTGATCACACTTGAAAATCAAATGGCTTTGTGTGCCATTGAGAAGGTGACTCGCTACACCTGATTGGGTTTACAAGTCATTTTTAGGAGGGGGGTGATTCTTTATCCAATTCATTGATTCTGTTTTTTTTCTCTCTCTGACATGTTGGTGTTATATCTTTAAGTTGGATGTTATAAGGTGCTCTGAGTAAATGCACAGTGAGTGCGCTGTGTGGTTACACTTTTAGCTCACTGTGACACACACATTGTGACCACACCATGAGAATCGTGTGAGCTCATGGTGACATCATTGTGAGATCAAATTGTTGACTGGGTAAGCACCATTAAAGTATCACAAAAGTAGACCACACAAAAACTGGATCCACTGAATTCATTGAAAACATCCAGCTCAAATAAACTTAGGCTTGAGTTCAACTGACTGCTCTACTCGCAAAGGTTTTTCAAAGTTGTAAATAAAACAAATATAATTGGAGTATGTTTTACAAGAAAATACTACTTCAGTTTTCTACATCAAAATGTTATGTTTAATTCAATGTGTCATTTGTTATTACTTTTTGTAATATATTTGCAATTTCTGCGTGATTAAAAAAAAAAAATTTCAGCAATGGGATTTGGAACTTTTGAATTTAGAATCACATGATGTTGTGTAAATGATGAGATTTTACTTTGGTGTGAGCCATTTGTTGAAAGCAATTCACCATGTGCTCTGTTTTCTGGAGTTCTCCCCATGCATTCCCACACTGAAACAGCAGATCAGTGTCCTGAAGCGCTTTATATTCCCACAAGACATGAGAATGTATGTGTGGATGTTTTGTGTGATGTGTTTATGTGTGTCCCCAGACCCTTTTACACACACACACGCACACACATCAAATCACATGAAGCGGGTGCTTTATGATTCTTTAGAAGTACTCATCACTAACACTCTGAGCTGGCTTATCCGTAAAATTTCTAAAAGATGGAACATTGCATATTATATGGCTCTCTAGACTACTTGATTCTTATTGGTCAGCTGTGGCATTCTGTGGACAAATATTTTTAATAAACACTAAAACCTAATTGACTGTTGACACAGGCAAATGATTTCTATGGTTTCATATCTCTTGCATCATGCCACAATCTCTTTCATCTCACATGATAAGTAAATCAAACTTCAATATTTCATGTCCATTTATTAATTTATATGATGAGTAGCTGCGTAATAAATGACCTGATCACCCTGTCGGGTTTATTTTGTGTGGTTATAACTGGCGGATTCTACATTATCCCTTACATAATATGTTGGTTAGTGAGCGAGAGAGAGAGAGAGAGAGAGAGCGAGGCAGGAGTGAGTGAGTGAGTGAATGTTTCTCTCCTCACTCTCTGTGCTCTCGTCTGCTGTGGTTATCATGGACATGCAGTCTTCATGTCAGCAGGTAATAAAAATATCTTCCTCTGTGTTGATTAAGATTATATTTTAGCTCCTGTTGAATGTTTTACTGTGTGGATACTGGCTTTTTTCAGTCTGCATTCTGTGTTGTGTTGATTAGTAGTCAAATTCTTTTCATTAGCAATTATACAAATCTATTAAAAGGAGTCCACTTGCATTTTAACAAATCTGCTTGCCATATTAGCCATAATTGCCTACATTAAAGGTGATTACCAAAAACACAGCGAAAGTAAACAATTTTGCTTAAACACATGCAACCTTTTTTAATTAATTAATTAATTAATTAATTACATTTTTTTTTTTACTGGAAAATAAGGCAAAAATATAAATGTTGTGTTGTTTTTGCTAGTACCAGTTCTCATCTCTGTACATTATTGTTGAGATTTTGCCAACCGAATGTATTTGCTGGTTCTGGAGCTCAGATGGACAGGAAGTTCGAAGGAGTGAGGTGTCAATTTGATGGTGTGATGAAAGTACACAAAATGAAAATGTACTCATACTGGATGCTAGCAAGGTTTGGACATCAATATTCACAACAGACCTAATCTATTAAGTGAAGTAATGCAACAAAAAGAGCATTGTAAGAGCACATGACAAAGTCAAAAATTAAAAGTGTATTCAACTATTAAACTAATAATGAGGCATATTCATATAGTTCACCATTAATGTGTTGATTTGTAACAGAGCAGAATCTTTGGTGAACATACAGAGGGCTTCACAAATAAACCCTGTTTGTGATTAGGGGTCTTTGAAACAGTTGCTGCATATATTCTCTTTTCTATTAATTAATGTGTTTTCTTTGATCCTCCTCCACACTGTCTCATTTCACCCCTTCACTCCATTTTCAAAGCGTTCTCTCTTTCGCCCACACAGCACATTGTTGAACCTGCCAATTCGCAGCACCCACTTCAATAACCAATGATGCTTATGACACATTGAGACAGAAACAGAGTTCAACGTCAGCAGACAGACAGGTGCGTGCAAAGAAGCGTCAAAAAATAGTCAAATCACAAAGACAAAAAAATGAAAACACAGGGGTGTCAGAATAGATGAAAGATGCTCACAGCAGGGGAGTGGAAGCAGAAAATAGAAAACAGTGACAGTAGGCAACCTGTCACTACTGAGAATCTTCAGACAACCCCCCCACACACACACACACACACATTAACACCAAACCGCAATAACGCACAAGAGCAAAGATGCCTTTCGCACAAGCGCGCATACATTTAAGTGACATCAAACGAGTGCTGTTGTACCGAATATCAGTAGCTTAGTTACACTACAGCTGTTATAGCTGGGCTGATATTCTGTACAACAGCACTAAAGTGTGAGATGCTGTTCAGTTGTTCCAAGATGGATAAGTTGCCACAATTCTTCCAGTTCATAGGCAGTCTCAGTTACTTCTGTCTCTTTCTGTGATCCCAGACTGACTTTAATGATGGTGAGATCAGATCTCTATGTGGGCCATACCTACTGTCATGGGACTCTTAGTTCATACAAAAACTCACTGCACTATTGCAATATTTACAAAAGAAATGTATGGAAACCTAAAATTGCTTACACACCTTCGTGTAATAACCATAATAAAACAAAAGTTTTTGACAACAAATCTCACCAACATCTAATGTGGAGTTGTAACAATATACACTACAATTCAAAAGTAAAAAAAATTGGGGTCAGTAATTAAAAAAAAAATTTTTTTTGGAAGAAATTAATACTTTTATTCAGCAAGGATGTGTTAAATTAATAAAAAGTGTCACAGGTTCAAAAAAAAAAATGGTAAAAATAAAAAATTAACCAGCACAACTGTTTCCAACATTGATAATAAATCAGCATATTAGAATGATTTCTGAATGATCATGTGGCACTGAAGACTCAGATTTGATCAGAGAAATAAATTATAATACTTTTTCACAATATGTTTTTTTTCTGTATTTCTGATCAAATAAATGCAACCTAAGAAACTTTGACATTTTTTTTTTTACTGATATCTATCTGTCTATAACATATCTATAACGAGTAATGAGATAAAGAGTTGATCTAGGACTCAGGGCAGATGACTCTGGGAGTTGGTTGTGCAGTGGCTTACATTGGATCCAGACCTGCTATAGCAGTGGCAGACCAACCTGGGCATCGGAGCAGTGGTGGATCTCGATCTGTCAGACCTTGCTCTGGACCTAGGCCTTGGAATTATGGTGGACCCAGTCCTGAATTGGAGGTGCAGTCGTGGACCCAGACATTGGCCATGGTGCAGTAGCTGACCGGGATCTGGGCCTTGGAGCAGTGGCAGGCACAGACCATAGAATAATTGCAAGGCTGTGGAAGAGCACCAAGAGTCGTGTGAAGCAGAACAGGGCCATTATGAGGTGACAGGGCATGGAGCATAGCCAGATGAGACAGACATGGAGAGCAGAGCCTGGTGAAACAGACATAGAAGCATGACCTGGTGAGACTCACAGGGGAGCGATTCTCATGTAATGCTCACATTCTGCGGGCTATGAAAGTGATACGGTAAAGTTAGTGTGGAGGTTGTTGTGGAGGCGGTCAGATGCAAATGTCTACCACAGTGTGATGTCAAGCTGTGGAGAAAGAAAGAAAATTAGTTGTTTAGGCAACTTGCTTTCTTTTTCAGCTATGAGGTGGAATGTGTGAGTTCTGAGTTGTGTATTTTTTATAGTAAAATTAGTTCTTAGTCAAGTCACCTTTATTTATATAGCGTTTTATTCAGTACTGATTCTGTAACTGATTGTTACAGTGTCAAACAGGAAAATAGTTTGTCAATAATGCAAGAGGACAATAACAAAGAGTCATTTTTCCAGCTAAAGTCAGTTCATTGATGATTCAGTGATGTCTCTTCCAACAGTGTCTGTGCAATCAGTCAAGCGTCCCAACTAAGCAAGCCAAAGGCGACAGCGGCAAGGAACCAAACCAAGGAACTTGTTCGTACACTGCAACATAACAAGGCAGGCAAAGTGTTAATTTCCACAAACAAATGTATTGAAATGAATCAGAGAATTTAAATTGATAAAACTAAGGCAAAAAAATTAACTAGAAGTGTACTGTGGATCTTTGTGTGGGTCATAACACAGGCCAGAACTGAATTTACACAATTTGAGCAGTTGTTCAGGGGAAAGCAAGAGAGTTGCTGCTATATCATATAAAGCTCATGAAGAGGTGGCTGTAACTAAACCTACAGTTAGCAAGCCTTGCAGCGGAGACCCTGGCAGAGCCATTACTAGGAAATCTGCTTATGTTGACTAAGAAAGAGCAGTTGAAAGAGCTCCTGGCGCATTTCTTTTCGGATGTATTTCTACCTCTTCCCAGAAGAACTAATATCATACAGCATGATACATAGCTCACCTAGAGCCAGAGGACAGCTGGCCACTGAGGCCGTCCAAAAGATGCTGGAGCTCAGGTTATAGAAGAGTCCTTGAGCCACTGGTCTATCCATATTGTGATGATCACTAAGTTGGAGCATACCTTACGGTTTTATAATGACTTTAGGAAGTTGAACAAAATCTATTTCAAAAGCTATACAATCCCCTGTGCACAAAGAATTAGACAACATATTCAGTGACTCCTGAGTGCTTCCCTTTGGCCAATATGGGGCATCTTGCACCTGCAAAAGACTGATGAATGTTGCAGCTTTACCAAACGTATAGGCAAGGTTAGGCCAGATTCTACTGATTATTTCATTCTTAACTTCTCCTCAATAGCTTGCCTCCTAACGGACGTGAAAAAGAAGCAACAGGACGAGAGAGTGGTGTTGACTGGGCTTCTGAAACAGAGACGGGCCTACATGCCTCGTAATTTCAACAGACCCTTCATCCTTCAGACAGACACATCACAAACTGGACTCGGGGCTGTCCTTTCACAGACAATACGAGGTAAGGAGCATCCTGTGATTTTCATAAGCCATAAACTGTCCCCTGCAGCAATGCAGTAACAAAAGAAAGATGCACTGGCCATTAAGTGGGCTGTCCCGGAGCTAAGACATACCTGTTGGGTAAGTGGGCAGTGACAGCAAATGACAATATACCACTGGTACATCTCAGCCCCTTATATTGTCTGTTATCTGTTCCCAGATGTGTAAAGAGTAACTGAAAACTATACTTAAGTACTGTAAAAGTAGAAATACCTTACAGTGAAAACGACTCCATTACAAGTTACAAGTCACCAATTCTGATATCACTTGAGTAAAAGTCTTAAAGGCGTCATATGATGCAATTTCATTTTTTCCTTTCTCTTTGGAGTGTTACAAGCTCTTGGTGCATAAAGAAGATCTGTAAAGTTGCAAAGACTAAAGTCTCAAATCCAAAGAGATATTCTTTATAAAAGTTAAGAGTCAGCCACACCCCCCTAAAACGGCTCGTTCGAACACGCCCCCACATATCTATCTCACGCTTGAGGTATTCGGCTAATCACAACGCACTGGATAGCTGGCTAATCAGAGCACACCTCGCTTTTCAGACCGATTAGTTTTGTAAAAATCGACGCGTTTCAGAAGGCGGGGCATACAGGAGAAACAATAATGTACAGTATGTGGAAAATAATGTGTTTTTTTAACTTTAAACCGCATAAACACATTTCATTACACCAAATACACAAAATAATGTTCTTTTTAGCAGCATCATATGACCCCTTTAAAAGTATCTGATTTTAATGGTGATTGATTAAGAAGCAGTGTTGGGTAACGCATTACAAGAAAAACAAAGTAACGTAATCAGATCACTTTTTTCAAGTAACTATAAAGTAATGCATGAGTTACTTTTTCAAATTTTGTTTTTGTCCCAGTATTGAGAGAAATCAGGAGTGAGTGCAGAGGCGTTGTGTGCGCTGTGTGAACATGATGCTACTGTAGTTCTAGACTAAATATGAACATGCATTTATCATCTCACTTGCACAAAAACAGATTCAGTATTCCTCAAAGTGAATACAAACAGTGAAATGCAAACTCAGAATTTGAAGCAAACCTGCAATAATTAAACTTTAACACAAAAATCCTTCATGTATTTAATCCCATTTTATTAACCAGTGCCTTTGCTGCTAACCTTTGATGATCCAATTCAACCATACCAATAAACAAAAATAAATACATAAATAAGTAAATATTGCAATCCAGAACAGCAGCACAGCTGAAAGGTTTGTTTGAGCTGCGCCCTCTAATGTATAGACGTGAATTTACATTTGATTCAGCCTGAGGCGTATTCATTTCACTTTTGGTGAGAAAGTGCTTTTACATTTGCCAAAAATAAAAAAAAATTTTTTTACATTAAAAACAAAAAAGCAAGCCCAGCCCAGATGAGGAAAAAGTAGCGCAAAAGTAACAACGCATTACTTTCCATAAAAAATAACTAAGCAGCGCAATTAGTTACATTTTTAGGGAGTAACGCAATGCAATAATGCATTACTTTGGTTACACTTTATTTTGATAGTCCACTTTAGACATTCTATTAACTATAAGTAACTTTGTAACTACATGTCAACTACATGTCAACTAATTCTAATTAATTTGCAACTACATGTCTACTAACTCTCAGAGTAGACTGTTAGGGTAGGTTTAGGGTTAGTAGAATAAGTTGACATATACTTGCAAAGTTTTTGATAGTCAGTATGTTGTATGTTGTTGACCCATCAAAATAAAATGTTAGAAGATATTAAGCAGACAGTCTACTAATACTCTAATGACTGCTAGTTGACATTTAGTTGCAAAGTTACTTACTGTTAGTAGAATGTCTAAAGTGGACTATCGAAATAAAGTGTTACCCTTTTAAAAGTAACTTTCCTTAACACTGTGCAGTTTATACTTTAGAACTACTGACCCAGACTATATAATCCTCTGCTTACTTACAGTTTTCCCAGTCTGCCCCAGTGACCCTCACTTCTTCAATCCTCACTCTTCTGAAGAAAACTTGTACTACAGCTGTATTCTTCCACTAAGCTGTGTCTCCTCTTTGAGACCCTTCTTTGTTGAAAGCAAGCCAAATAGGTTTAGGTTTAATGCAATATTTGAGCCAGATACACTTGAATCTTAAAATATCTCTGCTTGTGGTTTGGTAAAATTGTCAGTATAGATTTTGCACCTGTCTCTGTGTATATATACACACATACATACAGTGGGTACGGAAAGTATTCAGACCCCCTTAAATTTTTCACTCTTTGTTATATTGCAGCCATTTGCTAAAATCATTTAAGTTAATTTTTTTTCCTCATTAATGTACACACAGCACCCCATATTGACAGAAAAACACAGAATTGTTGACATTTTTGCAGATTTATTAAAAAAAAAGAAAAACTGAAATATCACATAGTCCTAAGTATTCAGACCCTTTGCTCAGTATTTAGTAGAACCACCCTTTTGATCTAATACAGCCATGAGTCTTTTTGGGAAAGATGCAACAAGTTTTTCACACCTGGAATTGGGGATCCTCTGCCATTCCTCCTTGCACATCCTCTCCAGTTCTGTCAGGTTGGATGGCAAACGTTGGTTAGCAAATGGCTGCAATATAACAAAGAGTGAAAAATTTAAGGGGGTCTGAATACTTTCCGTACCCACTGTATATATATATATATATATATATATATATATATATGTATGTATGTATGTGTGTGTTTAAGGAAACAAAATATGTGCATCCTCTCCTTTTTTAGTTTGTTAATCTAAATGAGTTGTGTCTGCTTTCATCTTGCTCTTGTTCTCTGCTTTGGTGCTCAAAGGGTTATTGATGTGCTGCTGTGGGTTACTGTGAACACGAGGAGCTGCTTCAAAGAATCATGGAGGGGTGCCATGGATTATTCATGGACGCCTACACCACTTCACAAACACAAAACATCAACATTAGACACACATTTTTTTTCCAGATTTTTAGACTTAAAAAAGCATTTGCTTGAGTTCATGAAACTTCATGATTTTCCAGTTGAGGAGGCTTTGTCAGATTTAGCTACCTTTTGTAGACCGTTTTGTCCCCAAACCATAACCAGGCATGTACTCACACGCGCCTGTTTTGCTAAAGTAATACTAAGGTCTGGAGCGGAGTAAAAAGATAGATCTGCTCTCTCATAAATTTAAGCCAATTTCACACAGGCAGAGAAAATAGCTTTGCTTTGCAAAATTGCTTCCCTTTTAAATCAAACATTCGACACTTTTAAAGCATAAATCGAATTTATGCTTTAAAAGTAGAGTAATCGTAACAGTTTTCATCCATAGTATGTCCATTTAAACGTCTGCGTTTAGCTTCAAATGGCGTCTTTGACGACAGTAT